GAACAGAAATTCCAATGTTGAAGATCTTGATGAATTAAATTCGTCAAGTCTTAATAAGATATTAAAGTATAGAACTAAATTGTTAAATGATCTGAGACAACGATTTAGAAAAGAATACCTTAGTCAACTGGTTCAAAAGCATAATGAAAAGCGATCTCGGGAACCTGTAGTAGGAGAAATAGTACTGATGGGGGATGATAACAAAAAACGTTTATTTTGGCCTTTAGCCCGAATTACAGAATTGATCCCTGGACGTGATGGAAAGATTCGTACGGTTAAACTTAAGACCCGGCATGGAATAGTTATACGACCAATACAACGCATCTTTCCTCTGGAGATACAGTCCAATGATAGAAACATAATTCCTGATAAGAAACTGGGTGCAGAGGAATCTAATTCTAGTGCTGGGTGTACGTTAAAAAGGGGAATTGCACCTGATAAAATGGTGATGCAACAATATTCCTCCTCTGGACGACTTGTAAAAGCTCCAAAAAAGACTTGATCTTTTAAATAATGTTTGTTATGAGTTTGAGACTCAACCTGAGTCTCAAGGGGGGGGGAGGATGTTGTGAAATGAACTGAAGTAATAACCGGCGCGAGGCGCTGCTGTTTGTGACGTCAGCCTGCGTGCTGAATGTTTTCAAATCTTTTTGAGTGTGGACGAACGAAAGCTGAGCTCGGAAGAGTGATACTGTTTTGATGGAAATAAAGAATGATTTATTAAGAATTTTTTTGTCTTTATTCATAATGCACCCAGCCTCGGGTAGAGGCAGGCCCGCAACTGAACGAACTGTTTTAAATATATTTGATTTATATATTTTCTGTGTTCTTCGTAACAAGTGTATTGTTATACCCTTAAAAGACTCACTGTAGTGCATTATTTCATATTATTTAGTAATAAATGAATTAATATTGCTATATATTTCTATCTATAGCATTTTAGAACTATATGACCAGTTCCTTATGATTACATATTTTACAATCTTTATAATCCTATCTCTTTGGAAAACTTATTTTCACAATCAATTACATATTTTAGCAAAATGAAGTAAAACAGTTCTTCAATACACATACATATCTTTATTGAGATGCCCAAATAATATGAATAAAAAAGGTTTTCAGTTTGTTTATGTAAGTTGAATTACACATAATCACTTACAGAAGTAACGTAAAATAATTTTATTATTATTTTCATTATTTAAAACTCATTAAATAACTTATTATAATGGCAGATAAAGACTGAGATACTACATGACAAGGGTGATATTTTGATATTTAAGTATTATATAAGTAGTGCAGTAATTTATATACATTTTAATTTAATATTTAGCATTTTCCCGCTAACAACAATTATAAATTTTAAATTTGTAATATCTCTACCATATCATTCACTCAGCTCCATAATTCATAACAGTATAATACTTTTGTTTCTAATATTTACTTTTTTATAATGATTAATTCTATAGAGTTTTAATGTGATATTACAGATATATTTAAAACTTTATATAATCAAAATATGTCATAATTTTTTTTAACATGATAACAATTAGTGAAATAACTATTCTTTTGCATTTTAAGAATTTAAGAAGCAAGTACATAGACTACAGTCAAAAGTCGTTAATTCGGACACCCGTAATTCGGAATGATCTATAATCCGGACCTCAAAGCTAAAAACTTTCTGCGCATGTGCCGCGTTGACACATGCGCATAGGCGTTTACGCGTGCGCGTAAGACCTTTTATGACTGCGCATATGAGCGTGCGCAAGTGCAGAATACGTTTTCGCGTGCGCGTTTTATGTATAATGGACGTATAAGCTAAAATTATCTAATTATCTATTTCAGTTAATGTTGATGATTGCGTTGTTCCTTAATGTTCGAATTGGATTCGGCTTATTATTTTTTGCAGACTGTTACAGCAATTTTATAAAAGTAAGCTTAAACTTTCGATTATGTCAAATAGAATTTCTGATAGAAATTTACTAATATGTAAAGGAAGTATATTTCTACAAATAAGTCCATTAAACAAAAAGTGTAATTGCTGCAAAAAATGGATAAAGGCATATCCTTTGTTTATCTAAACTTTAACATTTGTTTATCTAAACTTTGTTTATCTTTAACGCCGTGGCGCACAACGAATTGGAAGTTGATCAGTCAGCACTATCCTTACCTTCAGGGCATATGTTTTTATTTTATTTGGCTTATAATTCCTTATTAAATGTAGTATTTCCGTCTTTGATATGATTTAAATCAAATTCCTCGTCATTATAATTCGCTTCCAATGGCGAAGAAAATGACAGAGGTTATTGAAAACGAAAAAATTTTGATTGACAAATTAGTCGGTATTCTCGACACAGCAATTAAAGGACTTGAACAGCGGAACTTTGTAACTGAACAAGAAATTATGTCTGTTTAATAGAATTAAAGAGAAAGTATTATCACATGAAACGAAGCAAAACTTAAACAACTTACATTGAAAGAAATGTTTAATAAAGTAAACAAATAAATATTAAGCTTTTTCTTTTTGCAAATTTTGATACCCTTTAGATCATAATTGTTCTTTATTTCATAAATTACGGTTTCATATTTTTAATTTTAGAATTTCTGCATGCCATTTCCGAGATTTAAACTGATGATCTATAATCCGAAAAAATCGATAATCCGGAATCGCCGAAGTCCTGACGAGTCCAGATTAACGACTTTTGACTGTATATAAGATCCACACCATAACTTCAACAGCAACAAGTGAACACTTTTGAATTATTATCGATCACTGGCTAAGATAAATGAGCTACATATAGAAGTTCATACTGCAAAAAGGAATACCTAAAATGCATTTCTAGCATACTCTGGCTCAATGCCTATTATGTTTACACAGTTTAAAAAGTTAAAGGAAATGGCACATACAATTTGATAATGAGAAAAATGATGTTATTATAGCTACTGAATGCACAGACATACATTTCAGTGCAATTTAAAAATAAAAATCATTGAATCACCCAATAAAAAGACTTTTCACATCGTTCATTTCCTTTTTAAATGTAATATGAGTCATGACTTGAAATAATACAGAACTTAAAAAAATTATAAACAGTTATTCTAAATTTATTAACATTAAGCATCAATGACACATTAATTATAGAATTCTATAGTTCTCTTTAAAATCCAAGAAAAATTTTATGAATTTAAAATTTCATATTATCCATTAGGCACAGTAACAGATTTTTCTAAGTGATACTATATTCTGTAGAACAATGTTTTTAAAGCATCTTTTTTTTTTTTTTTTTTTTTTTAATTTAGGAAGCTAAAAATTAAATCAACTATGCTCCCCTTCACAGTGTCTTCGTGAGCACAAGTGATGTTCTGAATCATATTTCTTTGCAATTTTGAAAATTAAAAATTAAACTAATTAAGCCTAATTAAAATTGCTTTTATAATCTGATTTAAAGAATACTCTGACAAATTGTTTTAGTTAGCTGTGTACAGACCAGATGTTATAAACAGAATCTATAATAAAGAATTTCTGAATACTGAAATGCACTGTAGATTATACACAATTCAGACCAAAGCCTTGAAGGTAGAAATCTTAAATCTTTGGGTAAATAAAATTTTGAAATACTAGGAAAAACACTTGAAAAAGAATCTAAAAAATAAAAAAGCACTTGAAAAAGATTCATTTACACAAATTACTCCATCAAATTTATTATATGATAAAGAAATAAAAAGGTGACTGGCCTTTTCTTCAGGTAGAAAAGATATACATCCTTCTAGTTTTCATGATTTAGAAAATTAAAAATCAGACTAATTAGAATCAACAAAATAAGTAAAAAAAAAAAAAAAAAAAAAAAAAAAAAAAAAAAAACACTAGCAAATGTATAAATACACTTATTATCTAAATGTTTAACAGATTAGTTAACTAATCATAATAAAGTATGCACGAACAATCTACCTGATGTCAGGGATACCATAAAGAAGGATGTAAGAAAAACTACGAAAGTCATATGCACTCAGTATGTTTGCTAACAATTTAACTCAAATGAGAAAAAAGAGAGTAAAAGAGGAAGAACTACAGTTCAATATTTTTTACAGTCTGACCATTCGTGATGGGCTTCTCTTACATAACAGTATCCATATTTTCAATCATTTTACATGCATTATTTGTTCTTGAAATAATTCCAGAAAGACAATTTTTCCTTCAATGCTTTGAAACTTTAGTAAGTGTAAAGCGTAGATAAATGGGTAAGCTAAATGACATTTCCTTGAAATATCATATAAAGACATTTGAAAGGTATGCCATATATAATCTATAATTTATTTACAAAAGTAAGTTATATAGCTAGTACACTGTGTTTTTTAAAATGTACATTCTAAATTTACATATATAACTACAATAGCTAAACAGTTAAAAGAAATTTGATGAAAATATCAGCAATGGATATTTAATGATTATTTGAATTAAAAAAAACTGGAAGATTTATTAACAGTTACCTTTACTTAATGTTAATACATACACCCTTACACACAGATTTGTAATAAAAGAGCTAATAATGTAAACAGGTGCAAAGGTTGAAAGAAAACGTTATGCTTAAAAACACATTTCTGGGATACTCAGCGATCAAAATTTTCTTCATTATGCAGAAATTTTATAATTATTTAACAATTTAGACAAGTTTAAAACTACAATAGTTTATAAACATATAAATTCTTGCCTTTCAGTTTCCATAACTCAAATGACTTGTAAAATAAACATTTGTCTAAATAAATTTTTAAATGACTTTGAAGGTTTCCTTTCTGAATAAATTTTCCTGCCATAGACATCACACTTACATGGATGTAGTCCAGTAGGCATTTTCAAATGAGTCTCCAGGTTTTGCTTTAAAGCAAAACCTTTATTGCAAACCTGATATACAAATGAGAAGATTCCTAATGAAATAAATGCCTTTTCAAATTTCTTTTATATCTAAAACATTTACATACTTCACAACTGTATGAATAATTTTTACCAATAAATGTGGTTTGTGGAAGGAAAAATGAATCCCTTTCAGCAGAAAGATAATTCAAAAACATACAGTTTATGTCTTCATTCTCTGCAGATTCCTTTTCTACCAGAAAACCTATAAAAAAGTGTAGAATATTTTAAAATACTGATAGGATGCACAAATCTAAATGAAAGTATAATAGTTGGAGACAAGTGCATGGAAGTGAAAACTTTCAGTTTTAGTCCATTATAAATGACATGTTTAATAAATAAAAGTTAAAAGGCAGATTTTTCAAAGAAGGATTTTTGTTAAGAAACAGTATAATTACATGAAAATATGCTCGTTTCAATTTTAAGAGGCCCACAAGAAAAAAACTTATGCAGATTTCGAGAAAAACTAATTAAATATTAATTTTTGTTAATGCAAACTGAGAAATGTTCTTCCTTAAAAAAGACACAAAATTAGCACTAATTCCAATATGCAGTAAAATAAAAGAGGAAAAGAAATTAATAATAAACGATTATCAGATTGGAAGAAAAATATTCAAAAAGCATTTATTAGCCAAAACACATTATTTAGCAATAAAGGCAGAATAAAAACAAAATTTTAGTAAATAATATTATATTTTTTTTCTCAGTACGGATTAAGATAATACTTTAAAAATGGTCAAGGAAGGAATTTATATGTAAGATTTTCCCCATATCAGCTTTTTGAGGATACGTAACTGAATACAGGAGAATATAAGAAAAATGGTGAAACTTGCAGAGTATTTAATACATTAAGTTTTGCCAAGAGAGATATAGCTGATATTGAAAAGCTTATAATAAAACTACTGAAGAAACTATGAAAGGAAAACGCATTTTTCAATAGAAATTCAGAAAACTCTTTAGAATATCAGATTAGATTTGTAATTAAGCAAATGATGATGCGGACTATCAGCTTTCTTTGAGGAGACTCACTTTCCTGCTTGGTCTAAAAGAAACTGATGCGGAATGGGAATATATGCGCTTATACTAAGCATGACCACGCAATCAGTCTACCATTTAGGGAAACAAACCCTACGAGAAATTTACTTGGGAATTCATGGGCATACTTTTGAGAGGAAGCCAGAGAACTTCTTTATATTTTACACTACTGAATGAGGATCACCCTTTGAAATCTTATTTATGCAAAGAAAAGAAAAACTGCAGCAACAGAAGCCACTGTTGCTCAAGTGCAGTTCCAGGCTGAATATTTTTAATACAAGGTAACCAATAAAAGTTCTTGCCATTTTGGACAGTCAGAAAGACAAAGTCATAAAACAAATAATAATGAACGCTAATCCTCAGAGTAATCACCATCAGCATTCAGTGCCTTTTGCCAATGAGTGGCTAGATATGCGGTGAAACTGGGGCTCTTGGACGCATAGAAGTCCGTAAAGGCCTTTTCAAGGTCTGATTGGTTGTTGAAGGATTTCCCATGAAAATGGTTGTCGGGGGAATGGAAAAAGTCATAGTCTGTTGGTACAAAGTTTGGGGAGTATAGTGGATGGGGCAGTGTCTCCCAGGCCAGTCGCTGGATGGTGTCTCTGGCCTTCTGAGCCATATGTGGCCACACATTGTCACGGAGTACACCCTTACGATTGACAGATTGATTTCTTAATGCATCAGTGCCTGACGCACACATTCCAACTGCTACAAGTACAGACCTGCTGTGATGGTTTGGCTCACTGGCAGGAGCTCATAGTGCACTACTTGGCAACTAGTCACCAGATACAGAGCATCATCTTGTGTGGGTGGAGAGAAGGTCTCGCAGTGCGAAGCAGAGAGTCCCATGGTGACAACCAATGTCTGGAATACATGGGTGTATCATGCTGGACCCACTTTTCGTCACTGGTGAGTACTCGATCAACTATGGATGCAGTGCAGTGACACGTAAGCAATGACAAACAATCAGCAACGTACTGATTGCATTGGACACTTCGTGCTGATTGTTTGTTTGCATTGGACAGTGAGTATGATACCCACTTGCTCAGCTTGTATGCCTTTCCTATGCTGTGCAACTGCAGTCTGATCTTTCATCAGATACCTGGAAGTGTGCAGCAAGCTCACCACATGTTTGGCTATTGTCACTCTCTATGGCTATACATAGGGCCTCATCGGCCAGTGCTTGTGGCTGATCGCTGTGTGGTGCATCACTAAGAGACATATTCCCTGACCTGAACTTCTGGAACCATTGCCTAGCAGTTTGTACGTTAACGACATCATTCCTTAAGGCCTGGCGAATTCGCCGATTTGATTCTGCTGCTAACAGGCCCACTTTAAAATCAAACAGCAAACAACTCAGAATGAGCAACTTTGACATGTCCATTTCAATCGGTCACTGTGTGTGTTATGTTTGAAGTACCAATGCAATGTGATATACTCTTGGTCAATGTCTGTACTCCCATCCTATCCACTTCATCGCTGGGTCTGGCATCTATTTTTATGTTGGGGTTCACTCTTTTAATGTCATATCAGAAACGGGAAGAACATTTTTGGTTACCTTCTACAATCTGCAATGTTAAGCAAAATATATCAGTTGCAGAATAAAAATGCAAATGTACACAAGATTAATGTATGAGGTATTTGATGTAAAACTATTTTGAAGTAAAGTCTAAAAAATATTGACATTGGTTTTTATTGTGTAAATATGTTCACAGAAATATAATATAAATTACAAAGTTATGTAAAAGAAGGTACAGAATTTTATGAAATCAATTAACATTTTCAAGGAATTAAAGAAATACAAAATTTGCATTTTTATATGCCCCCCCAATACAGAAAAATTCTCAATATATATAATTTATAATTAGAAAATTTTTTATATACCATCTCCAAGAAACAGGAATTTAATTAAAACCATGAATTATTATATTTAAAAAATTTTTTTAGTCAGTTCATATATATTGTAGTGTCAAATGTATTTTTAGCATTAGCTTTTTTAAACATTCCTCTTGCTTATAAATATATATATATATATATGATGATTTTGGTAGGCAGGCACAGAATTTTCTTTTAGACGAAATTCTCCAATATTACATATTCAATGGTGATTTAAACTAAATAAGATTAACTTTAAATTTACTGCGTCATACTTTTCGAACAAAGGGAGACAGATAGGAAAAGCGGCAGATAAAAGGTCTGATGGCAGCAGGAGGAGAAAGCAGTCTGACAAGAAATGGCGTGAACTTTGTATTTATACTAGCTGTTACATAACATGCCAGGAAGTTCTCGAAAGTACTGGTCTAGGGTGAAGATCCTGAAATTGCGGAAAGTTAATTAATGGTTGCCCGTTCGCGTACAGAAAGTCCATCATATTTTACATATATAAATGTATACACATATTATTATTATTATTATAAGAGCACAGCCCCGATCCTCCTAGCCGGCCATATGATCAAAAAATGGGATTGGCCATACATATATATGTGTGTGTGTGTGTATACAGTGGTGGCCAAAATTGTGGACACTTTTGGAAATTTTTATGTTTTTGAACTTTGTATGCTTATAGAAAACGTTACGTGTCACAAAATACAAACTTTTATATTTATTACTAAATTCAATACAAAACACAAAATTCAATTATTTGAAATACAAAAAAAGTTAAACGATAATAGTTATCGATATACATTAGATAGTGATGATTGCAGTGAGTTATCAGTACTTAGTAAGGTATCCTTTATTTTTGATTACAGATTCACATCGACGTTTCATTGAGCTGACAAGAGTTTTAAGCTCTTCTTTCGTTATTATATGATGCCAGGAAACAATTATAGCCTCAATTAGTTTCCTTTTATTTGATGGGCGCCTCATTCGGACAAGAGTTTTCAAGCGCTGCCCCAAATTTTCGATAAGATTGAGGTCAAGACTGTTTCCTGGCCATGACAACAATTTAATGCTCTTTGTACGAAACCAATCTTTCAATATTTTGGCCGTGTGGCAAGGAGCAGAATCCTGCTTAAAAATAAGTAAAGCATTGTTGGGAAAGAGATTTCTGATGGAAGGTAGAAGTTTTGGTTCTAGAATAGTGCCAATGTATTTTCTGGCATTCAGTGTCCCATCGATGACATGAAGGCGACCAATACCATCTGCTGACATGCATGACCAAATCATAACACTAACTGGGATTTTCACAGTTGCTTGAATGCAGTCAGGATGTAGCTCTTCTCCTATTCTATATCTTACATATTTTCGCCCATCACTACCGAATAATGATATCTTAGTTTCATCACTCCATATAACTTGTGACCACTGATCATCTGTCCAATTAATGTGTTCCTTTGCCCACTGCAGTCTTTGTTTTCGCTGCTGAAAATTAAGATAAGGCTTTTTTCGTGGAATTCTACCTCTGAGTCCAACATCTGTTAATCTTCTCCTGATTCTTCTTGAACTGACAGAAACACCAGCATCATTCAGATCACTTCTGATGGCCGCTGATGACTTTTTCTATGTTCGAGACTGAGTTTTTTTATTCTTCTGTCATCAATAGATGTGGTGCATCTTTTTCGGGCTTTTCCTTCTTTGTTTTTTATTGAATTTGTCTCCTGATATCGTAAACAAAACTTTCGGACTCCAGATGTAGTCACTGAACCACCCACCTGCCTTGCAATTTCAGCATAGGAAAGACCACTTTCTCGTAACACAATAATATTACATCTCTTTCTAGGTGTCCAATCTACTCTTTTATTCGATGTCATTGCTTCTTGACTAAATATTAAAAATTTTTACAAAAATTCTTACTTGTAATTGCAGTGTATAAGAAACAGGTCCTCCTTCAACAGAACAAAGCAAAATAATTAATTGTTTCAAGTGTAAACATGATGTCAGCTTCTACTGGCAGTTACTAACATTTGATTGTTCTCAGAACAAGAACAGTGATTGGCCAGGAAAGCTAGACATTACAAACCACTTCATAACTGTGTTTTTTATTTATATTAAAGTACATATAACTTTTTTTGTATTGCAAATAATTGGATTTTGTGTTTTGTATTGAATTCAGTAATAAATTCTCTTTAAAATGATATATACAAGTTTGCATTTTGCGAAACATAACATTTTCTATAAGAATAGAAAGTGGAAAAACATAAAAATTTTTAAAAAGTGTCCACAATTTTG